GCTTGGTTATGATATTGATAAACCTAATTACTGACCGGGAATTTCACGATATTGTATGCAACTTCATTGAATCACAAATTAAATTCATCTGGTAACAATGCTAAACAATTAAACGTTATCCTAACATTACCAGATCAGAACTTCCCTGACAAGATCATAAAAGTAGTCCAACTGCCAAAAATAAGTTTAATAAGATTCCAGAGCAGCTTATTATCATAAAGTTTTCGCATGACTTGAAGGGAAAAAGGACCAGGAAAAACAGAAGCAGTTTCTGAATGTTCAAACGAAACACAGATATATCCAAACAAACAGATACTAAGGTCTCTACTAATGTATTATTATTCAGTACTCTGAAACAGTCCACATATCAAAGGGTGCGGCGCCCGAACAGGACAGTAAGTTTGGATCTTCAGTGATGGGAGATGATTCTCCGCTCCAGCTGCACCACAAAAGATTCTAGAGAAGAAAAATACTAATTCCGATTTTTAACATGATTTGTTTTGGTGACCAGGTGTCTGAGTCAGCTTGCACACACACTCAACTAATCCCTCTAGGCCCTGAAGGAACAATCGGATAAATCTCCTCAGTTGCCATCCCTATTAGTGCATAGGAGAACTCAAATTTAAAACCCATGTAGATCTTTTTGCTCTTTATATCAGGCACTCAATGCTAAAATTTTCCTTGATTATATAATAAGGAAGAAATAGAGACCAAAAACTGTTCAGATTTTTCATTCCTTAAATTTTTACGTCAGACAGAATGGCATGATCTCACAAACCAAGACTCTCTCATTCACAAGTCCACACAGGAAGTCTTCACATCTTTATTACCAAATTTGCCATTATTCAACTAAATGCCAAACAAAGTGAGAAGAGACACTGAAGTTTTATAATTTGGAAGTCAAGGTTATGACATGAAGAACAATGAAAATCTATTTGGGAAAGAAGATGTACAACCGGCGTGACTGCAATCTTCTTCATACAACGATAATGCCGCAATAATGATGGAATTCTTAACAGAATAATAATGAAATTTCAAAACCAAAATATTGCAAATCAATTTGACAAAACCACCAGTTGAGCATATTCATTTAAAAGATCAAATGAAATTCTATGCAAAATACCTGTTATACATGGTTTTCCTACAAATATTTATTCTACTTCCTATAATTACGTGAGTTGTTAAGTCAATTGCAAATTTGCAAAAAAGTAAAAATGATATACCAAAAGAAGTAAAAGCTAAAGCACAAATTAGCTTCCAGTAACAGCTATATAAGAGAGATAAACTGAATCAGTAATTCATTGAGAAAACGTACATATGATTTTCTATATATTGTACAGATAACTACATGACAAGTGCTATAAAAGTAAAATTTGCAAAACGAGAACAATAATAGGAAATTACTACATGAATTAACTACTTTACACAAAATAAATCATTCGCATCAATCTTGAGCCCAATAGCGTACACGAAAATGTAGATCCATCTGAAAGTTATGTTAATACAAAGCAAAGATGAGAAATGCATAAGAAAATTCGGTGGTTACCGCCAGAATTCTGTCAGGATTTGAAATCCATCGTTTTCGTTAATAAATATGAAATACTCACGTTTTTTTGGTATAACTCCCTTCTTTAATTATTTCTTTCTCTGGGGTCTATTGCCACACAGCTAGAAGCTTGCTACTCTTTCATGTTTAGATGAATTCATGTTTTATCTTCGTGCACTTTTAGCCCATGTGAGATACGAAAATTCAATGATAATTCCATGTGAAAAAATGTATATACTTAGGCATTACATTAAACAACAATTAAATAATGAGCTGCTGTCGAAGAATTAATCATCAATTGCTGTAGCTTTGAAGGGAAACACTCAAACAGGCTCCCTCACTTCCACTATAAATACAGTTTCCTCATGCAAGATATCTCACACATCCAACCAATGCAGTAGCACATTCAAAAGAATTAAACTAGCCTACACAATTAACTATGAAAACTGTTCATTTCCTGTAGCTTTTGTTCTCTTAGTTCGGCTTCACCACTGGCCTTTGCCTCAGACCTTGGCCCTCTTCAGGACTCTGTGTAGCAATCAACAACACCGGAATGGCGGTGTGTATGATCTTAAATTCTGTAACAATTAATCATATACGTGTCTGCTACTTAACACATTTTTGACTAGTTTTTTTTTTTTTTTTTTTCTCTCATGTAGTGTTTGTAAGGGAAGTTCTGCAAGGACCCAAGCTTGTATTGCAGATGACTTCGTCTTTCAAGGGCTTAACATTCCAAGACCCATAAAAAATCCAGTGGTACAACAGTCAGCCTTTTAAATGTTGAGCAATTCCCAGGACTCAACACTCTTGGCGTAGCCTAGCTCGATTGATTTTGCACCAAATGGTGGCGAAAACCACCACACCTTCACCCTCGAGCATCAGAATCTTTCTGTCCTGGAGGGCACTTTTAGCTGGATTTGTCACATCGTTCCCAGACATAAAAATCTTCACAAAGTCCTCAACAAGGGAGACATATTTGTCTTCCCGCAAGGAAAATTCACTTCCAAGTGAACTTAGGCAAAACTAATGCAGTCGGCTTTGCTTTTTTTGAAAGCCAGAACCCTGGTATCATTAGAGTAGCCGATGCAGCTTTGGATCGAATCACCCATTAATCCTTTCATTCTGGCTAGGGCATTCCAACTGGATCCAAATGTGGTGAAAAATCTTAAGTAAAGTTCGGGATAACAATTAGTCTGCAGTAAGATATAAGTAATAAGAAGTCATAAAGTAGTTGATTGTGATCTGTATTAATAAGATGTTCCTTATCATGGTTTACCCGATAATAAAGGGCTGCTACCTGCTGAGATTGCAATTCTGTTGATAGTCACTGTGATATGAAGTTGATGTTTACCAATAAAGTTTGCTTATCTCTCATAACAAAAAAAAGCTCATAAAGTAGTTGATTGTGATATGAAGTTTAAAAACAAAAAGCTCAACAATAAATACTGTAACAGTACACCAAACCCTTCTAACCTCTGACTGCATTGTCTCTCATAACAGGGCTAATGCTACAATAATCATGGTTAAAGACTCACATAAATCTTCTCCAATCTAATTGATTCTCACGATGAATTTCATCTAAAAACAATACAGTCTGAGTAGAGAAAGAAAAGAGAGAAAAGAGAGAGAGGAAGAAGAGAAGGAGAGGAACAAGAAAAGAAAAAAGGGAGAGAAAGATGAAACTGAGAACAGAGAGAGAGGAGAGAAGAGGGCGGCGGAGGTGGCTGGAAAAGTGGCCGCCGTCGAGCAAAACTCCGGTGATCGGAGAGTGGAGGAAGATAAAGCTTAAAATTTCCCTCTTTGATGAGTTTTAAAACATAGAGTCTTGAGTAAAGATTGTCATCTCCACTTCTCCACCAAATAATTTTCATCCCCAACGTACATACTCCTATCAATCAAAAAATTTCAAAAATAAAATATTACAAATCACCGGTTGAGCATATTCATTTAAAAGATCATAATGAAATTCTTATACAAATTAATATACCTGTTATACATTGGTTCTCGTACAAATATTTATTTTACTTCCTATTAATTAATTGTAGTTTGATATGTCAATTTCAAATTTGCAATAAAAATAAAAGTGACTATACCAAAAGAAGGAAAAACTAAAGCACAAATTAGCTTCCAATGACAGCTACACAGAGATAAATTGAACAAGTAATTCACTGAGAAAATGTGATGATTTTCTATATGTTGTACTAACAACTACATGACAAGTGTACATAAACTACCACTGGATGGCTAATCTAACATAGTTTCCCAAGTTCGTATCCCCTTGATGATAAAAGAGTAAGAAGAGAATTTAACATGGTTTTCCAAGTTTGAGTCCCCATGACCCCTAATAAGAGTAACTACTATAGTTCTTACTTAACCGGTAGTGTTAGGGTCTCAAATGATTAGGTGAGATTCGTGCAAACTAGCCTGAACACCCTTAATCATCAATAAAAAAAAAAAGTATATAAGTAAAATTTACAAATGTTGTCAATATATACGATAATAACTAATAGGAAATTAACTTACATGAATTAACTAACTTTTCATAATAAAATAAATCACTCGCATCAATCTTGAACCCAAAAGCAGGCCCTCCTTCTATTGTCAACTCTTGTGGATAATAGATGCTGTTATAGTTAGCAACTGTACTAAACGAACTAATCATCTCCTGAAAGCTACTTTAATATATAAGTAAAGATGAGAAATGCATTAGAAACTTCGGTGGTTTACTGCCCAGAATTCTCTCAGGATTTGACATCCATCACTTTCGTTTAACAAATATGGAACTACTCATGCTTTTGGTATAACTCCCCTCTTTTATTATTTATTTCTCTGGGGTCTATTGCCACACAGCTAGCTAACTAGCTCGCTACCCATTTCAACACAGCTAGCTAGGTTGCTACCATTTCAACACAGTTCGAGATAATTCAAACAAAAACAAAAATATATTTTTTTTTTTTAAACTTCCACTCTGCGGAACAAATTGTGCTTTCAAATTGCTCCATAGAGTGGAATTTGAAAAGAAACATAAAATTTTGATGAATACATGTAACATAATCTATTTCAGTCGCCACACAAGAGTCAGAAAGGTTAAAGAGTATTTCAGTAACCCCAGCTAAACAATCTAGATTTATGAATTCATGTTTTATCTTCATGCACTTTTAGCCCACGTGAGATAATAAAATTCAGTGATCAATTCTATGTCAAAAAAAATGTACTATACTTAAGCGTGTACTAATTAAACAACAATTAAATAAGGAGCTGCTTGCAGTTGTTGAAGAATTTTGGGTCATTGCAAGACTTTTTCATCATCAATTGCTTGAAGCTTGAAGGGAAACACTCAACATAGGCTCAGTCACTTCCACTATAAATACACATTTCTTCATGCAAGATATCTCACACATAATCCAACCAATGCAGTAGCACATTCAGAAGAATTAAACCATCCTAAATAATAACTATGAAAACTGTTCATTTCCTCGTAGCTTTTGTTCTCTTAGCTTCAGCTTCACCACTGGCCCTCGCGTCAGACCCTAGCCCTCTTCAGGACTTTTGTGTTGGAATCAACAACACCGGGAATGGCGGTGTGTATGCTCTTAATTTCTGTAACAATTAATCATACAAGTTTCTGCTACTTGACACATTATTTTGACTAGTATTTTCTATTTTATTTTTTCATGCAGTGTTTGTGAATGGGAAGTTCTGCAAGGACCCAGGGCTTGTAATTGCAAACGACTTCTTCTTTCAAGGGCTTAACATTCCAAGACCCACAAACAATCAAGTTGGTTCAACAGTCACCCTTATAAATGTTGAGCAATTCCTAGGACTCAACACTCTTGGCGTAGCCATAGCTCGAATTGATTATGCACCAAATGGTGGCGAAAACCCACCACACAGTCACCCTCGAGCATCAGAAATCCTTCTAGTCATGCAGGGCACTCTTTTTGTTGGATTTGTCACATCGAACCCAAATAATACACTCTTCTCAAAAGTCCTAAACCAGGGAGACCTATTTGTCTTCCCACAAGGAATGATTCACTTCCAAGTGAACTTAGGCAGAACTAATGCAGTCGCCTTTGCTTCTTTTGGCAGCCAGAACCCTGGTCTCATTACAGTAGCCAATGCAGTATTCGGATCGAATCCACGCATTAATCCTTTCATTCTGGCCAGGGCATTCCAGCTGAATCCGAATGTGGTGAAAAATCTTCAAGCAAAGTTCTGGAATAACAATTAAGTATGCATAAGATATATAAGTACTAAGAAGTCATAAAGTAGTTGATTGTGATCTGTATTATGAGATATTCCTTATCAAGGTTTTCCCAGTAATAAAGAGGCTGCAACCGTCTGAGATTGCAGTTCTATTGATAGTCACTGTGATATGAAGTTTGATGTTTACTAAAAAAGTTCGCTCATCTCATATGGCTGTGGAAATTGAAAATACTAAAGAAACCCACTTTTTTCTTTTAAGCAAAGTGATACTAGTACTACTCCTATAAAACAGTATTCTTTCTCATTCTCATATAACAAATGACATGATAAGTTAAGTTGATTACCACATCATATAGAAAGGGCATGTCATTCACTGCTTTATTTAATTATTTAGTAGACACAGAAGTCCATTTTGATTTGAAGACTGATGGCAAAGTCAACTATATATTCAGGAAATTGATAACAAGGACCTTGTAATCTGTTATCCAAATGACCAGTCCTTCCTGTTTACTGCAGAGCAAATAAAAGAGAATTGAGTCATTTCTACACAATACATTTATTTATTTATATATCTTCTACTAGTAACACATACTGAGACTAAGTTCCATTTGTACCAAAAGATAGAAATATAAGGTCATTGTAAATGTAATCAAAATTAATTTCTATGAACTTTTTAATCGTATCTGTGTAGCTATTGAAATCAATTTCCTACAATAGCAAGTCACAAACACAAAAGAAAAAAAAAACAGAGGCTGCTCCAGGGTCAAGTGTGAAGAGTATTCGCACACACATTAAGATAATTTTTTACTTGATTACTAAGGAAAGAAACAAAGACAAACTATTAGAATTGCATTGCTATTCAGAAATTTTATTCCTTAAAGATTCCACTTCAGACAAAGTGGCATAATCTCCCAAGCTGAGTATATTCTTGTTAACACGTTCCAGCAACAAGTCATCAACAACTAAATAACCAAATTTTTCCCTATTCAACTAAATACCAAAGGAAGTGAGAACAAGGCACTAAAGTTACTGCCTTGTAAAAGATATAAGAAAAAAAAAATTTTGCTTATTTCAAATTAGTGATGCCACAGTTGAGTGGGTACTCAACCAAAGAGCAAAAGAGCAGTAGAATTACTAGAGAGTTTATAGAACAATATGTAATGACCAAAAGTAGATTTATTTGCAAGTCACAGGATATTACACTAAGAACACTGTAAGTATATCGGGCAAAAAGGTTATACATCAGGCAATAGATAACTTTGGAAACAAAAAGCTCAACAATAAATACTTTAACAGTACACCAAACCCTTCTAACCTCTGACTGCATTATCTCTCATAACAGGACTAGTGCTACAATAATCATGGGTAAAGACTCACATAAATCTTTTCCAATCTAATTGACTCTCACAACGAATTCCATCTAAAAACAATACAGTCTGAGTAAAGACTGTCATCCACCAAATTATTGCGTTCCCAAGTACATACTCTATCAATCAAAAAACTTAATCATTTTGACTGAATCACCAGTTGAGCATATTTGTTTAAAGCATAGTGAAATTCTTGTACAATATACACACTAGGAAAAAAAAGCTTCATAAACATAACACCAGTTTTACATTGGTTCTCCAACAAAGATTCATTCTGCTTCCTCCTGATTATACTGCAGTTCGATATGGCTATCAAAAATTTGCAATAAAGGAAAAAAATTACTTTAACAAAGGAATTGGAAACTAAAGCACAAATTACGGAGAGAGCAAAACTGAGATAAATTGAACTTGAACTAGTAGTTCATCAAGAAAATGTGATATTTTACACTATGCTGTACTAAGAACCACATGACAAGTGTATGAGCAAAATTTATAAATGTTGTTAATACGTGAACAATAAATAAGCAACCAACTTACACAAATCAGCTAGTTGTTCATAAAGAAATGACTCACATCATTCTTGAGCCCAAATGGCATACAATAAAAGGCATCGTCCTTCAATAGCCATTCCACACACATCAAACAGACCGAATAGACACCTCCAACTGCTCTATCTTCTGAGCCAGATCATGCTTCCCACAATTCTTCAAACCATCAGTAACCATATCAAAGCACCTAGAAATCGGTGTCAACCCTATCTCAGTCATCTCCACCAAATAATTTGCCGCATCCACAAACTTCCCCCCACGACCACACATTGTTATCAACATTGTATAAACCGGCCTATTGGGTGGATGCCCTTTGATTTTCATCTCGCTAAAAAAACAAAACCCATCGTCAAACTGCCCCCTCCTAAACATGCCCTTAATTATTGGAGCATACAAGCTCGGAAATGGCTTGTGACCATCCTCAACCAAGTTATTCAACAATCTAAAAGCTTCATCAATCATACCTATTTTCGAAACTGCAGGAATCAAGATCTTATACGTATTTATATCCACACATAAACCTAATCTACACGCATTATAATACATATCAACACAAAACTCAACCTCCCCAGATTTACAAATCGTCTCAATTAATGAATTAAATGTCTCTATATCAGGTAAAAATCCTTGTTTAATCATTTTACTCACCATTTGCTTTGCAGACTCCAAATACCCGGCATTCAACAACCCTTGAATCAACAAATCACGCCCTCTAACGGGCGGATTAAACCCTTTATCACTCATCTCCTGTAAAAACTCTTGAGCCTCCCTCAATTTCCCAGAAGAACACCAAGCATTCACAAGAATCATATAAGTCCTCTTGTCAGGCACAACCCCTTTTCTCACCATCCTCCTAATCAACGCATAAGCTCCATGAAACAACTTGACCTCACACAAAGCAAACAACAAAGAATTGTACAAAGCAACAGACTTTTCACAGTTAAAAACCTCAGACTTGTTAAAAATCTCCACAGCATTATCAACCAACCCATGTTTACCAAACTCTTCAACAACAAAACAAAGGGTTTCAGAACTGAGAGAAAGATGAGATTTTTTCATGAGTTCAAAAATTTTCCACATGGATTGGTAGCGTTTATGATGGGCCAGGGTTTTGATGAGCTGTTCGAATTCAAGGGAGGTGGGGGAATAGTGGGCCCGGGCCCAGGTGAAGAAGCGGAGGGACTCAGAGGGGGAGGTGAAGCAGGCGCGGAGGACGCGGAAGACGAGCTCGGAGGTGAGGGTGAGATTGAGTTTGGAGAGGGTGCGTTCAGGGTAGATGTCATGGCGGACAATGTTGGCGACGTGATTGATGGCGGCAAAGTAGTCGTCTTTGGAGGGTTTGAAGGCGGTGGAGGTCGTGGTGGCGAGGGTTTTGAGGGAGTGGATGAGGGGGTTCTGGGTGCGGGTTTTGAGGGAGTGGATGAGGGGGTTCTGGGTGCGGGTTTTGAAGAGGGAAGTGAGCATTTTGTGAGTTTGATACTGAAAAAAGTTTGCGATTAAGGGGAAGAAGAAGAAGAAGAGATATCAAATTTGGCAATTGTTTTTGTTGTCGCCTATGGGTGTTTCAGCCAAGGCTTCGGTAGATATTCTTGGGCACACTTACCAAATCATTGAGCTCTCGTAAACAAAATGTTTTTTCTTCGTGTGGGATAATTTTTCAGGAAAAGAGAATCAAAGTACTGTATTATTTTTTTGATAGAGGGAGAAACTCCATAGAGGGTTTTATATGGCTTCAAGCCTCCTTGCTAAGTGGCGAGTTAAGAGCATGCGAGTTACCTATCGCTTAGCGCCTTTGAACTCCAAAGTCATCTGCTATAATGTTGACCTCCAAAGTCATCTGCTATAATGTTAGGAGGGGCATTGTAGGCGTCGGTATCTGTTTCGCGGACACTAAACTGTATGATAATATCCAGGTCAAGGAAGATATGTGAACCTCTTTGTATCGGATGATTAACACCGATTGTCGGTGTCATTCAGCTGCCATTCCACACAGCAATGCTAGCTAGCGATGTCATCCTACCGCTATTGCCATTCCTCGGCAACCGCACTTATTATAGTTAACCTCAGATCATGGCAGAGGGAGAGCTTAGGACACTTGGTATTCTTTGAGCCTTGTTAGACGTGTAAATTTCCTATCTTACTCTTTGTTCCGTTTTAGCTCTCATAACCGTTTTTAAGGTGAATGTCAAGTTAAAACCAATGTTTTAAAACCCGGCTAGACCCGGTTGCTTGACCCAGTTCAACCGAGACTTGAATCCTTCGTCAAGTAGAGTTACAAATTTTTCTATTCATTGAAAACCTTAAAAATTAGGACATTAATCTATAAACAATTGAATACTGGAATGTTAGAGTTTTTGAAAAGAAATGGCCGATAAGTGCAATAGTGCTAACGATGTCGATTTCCGGTGAATGAATTGATCGAAAATCTCAAAATAATGTCGCAAAAAAAAGTCTGTTGTCATCAACAATTGCGAGGGCGAATGGGGAAGAGGTAAGATTGGTTTTAATCAAGAGATTAAGGAGAGTGTTGTCGTAACCGAAAATAAGCCCTATTTGTTGATATTGATGATGGTGTTTAAGGTGTTTAACTTATAAGAATTTTTAAAGGTATTTTTGTTAAATTTCAAACACTGAGACACCGGTTTGACTGTCAGTCAAACAGGTTAAACCTATCAACCGGGGTCCCCAGGTTTCACCCCGAATTGGAATTTAAAACATTGGTTAAAATTGTTTCATCCTTCAGGTGTTCCTGTGTTTAATGTTTAAGTAAACATTATTCACTGATAGTAATCGAAATTTGCGCTTATACAGCCCAACTAAAGAGTAAAGACTTCTTTGTTTATAATAGATTAGGGTTATGATTTTTTTTTAATTTTTTTTTTAAGGATTGATTGGGGTTTGTTGTTATATTTTTGCGGAAACTATTTACACCTACCCAAGGTTGAGCGAAACGATAGATTGGTACCCAAAAGGTTTCAAAAAGACAAACAAGTACCTTCAGTTAGTGAAAAGACTAGAATGCCCTTTGAGAAATATTAGTCTATTTTTTTAATTACTTTTAGACCCCTTAAGCTTATTAATTCCAACAAATACCACCCAAAAAAAGTTTAAAAATTAACAAAAACACCCCCACCCACCCATATTTGCCAGATTCCGACGACCACCGCCAGTGGTAGCCGAAATCTGTCACAACGGTCTACGCCACCACCAAAAATGATCGGTAACTCACCGATCTGGCCTTTTCCGACCAGATCCACCACGAATATGGTCAGAAAAGGCCAGATCTAGCCGTCAACGGCCGTAACACTCTATCTTTGACCGTCGTTGTCTGTCAACAATGGCCAAGATTTGGCCATTGACAGTCAACGATGGCCATTTCTTTAGCCGTCACTTTCCGGCCAGATCTGGCATTTTCACGTCAGATGTGGCCTTTTCCGGCCATATCCGTGGTGGATCTAGTCAGAAAAGGCCAGATCGGTGAATTACTAGCCATTTACGGTGGTAGCATAAACCGTTGTGACAGATTCCGGTTACCACCGACAGTGGCCACCGGAATCTAACAAGTATGGATGGATGAAGGTGTTTTTGTTAATTTTTAAACTTTTTTCTAGGGGTATTTGATGAAATTAATAAACTTAAGGAGTTTAAAAGTAGTTTAAAAAATAAACTAATATTTCTTAAAAGGCATTCTAGTCTTTTCACTAACGAAAAATACCTGTTTGTCTTTTTGAAACCTTTTTGGTACCAATCTATCATTTCACCAAACCTTGGGTAGGTATAAGCCGTTCAGCCCATATTTTTCAGTTTTCGCTTTTGTACAATACAATAATTCAACATGTTACTTACTGGAAACTTTAGGAAATGTCAAATGTAATTTATTTTCCCTCCATTTCGGAAATGATGCAAGCTGGAAATCTTTCAATAGTCTTTAGGCCTCCAGCAAAAGGGCTGTAGAGTTCTTTACTCTTGAGTTCCCATCTCTCCTGCACTGGCTATTATAGTCAGAATCATCAAAGGATAGACGTTAAGGTGTTAAAACTTAAAAGCAGACAAGTAAATAACAGGAGAAACTTTTGGTAATTTTATTACTCCTCCAAATCACCGTGTTTTTCACCAATCCTTTAAATAAACAAGTACATCCATCCACATAAATCCATCAGCACAGACGTCATAAGCACAGCCACGGCATCATCTGAATAAGCAAGCAATCATCTTTTTTTTTTCTGTTTCTGTTCCTAAATACAATCATCCTTGTGTTATTTCTCTTTGTTTTTTTATCTACAATCCCGTTCACTTCCCTATCTAACTATCTATCACACGGGAAGTCCAAGTCATTCTCAGTTACTTTAAAGTGCTGGGGCTTCTGCCCTGAGCAATAGAGATTCCACATTTTGAAGTATGACCTGTCCAGATTCTTCACCTGCATTTTGTTCATCAGAGGTAGATTTTAAGCATTTTTTTTCATCAAATGGGCAACTGCGGAATGATGGGAACATACTTCATTAGTTTTAACTCACCCAGCGTGCTGTGTCAAATAGAGGACAAGTAAGGCGAACAGACTTGAGTTTATTTGTAAGTGCCTGTAGTTTTTGCCGATTCAGAGCCAAAGATACTGCCCTCTCTTCATATTCCTTCATACTGTATCACAAGGAAGAGTCAAAGCAAATGTAGGATGTCAAATTCATATTTTTCTTCCAAATGAAAAATCAAATTAGAATTATTACAATAAATGCCAACAAGTTGTTTCTAATAATGCTTTGTACCAAAAAGTAAAATGCCTACCTATTAACAATCATCTCATCCCCTAGTCCAGTAGCAAGACAAAGCGATCCGGCAACCCTGGTAGCCATTTTCTCAAGAGGTAGAGTTATCATTGGTAGACCTGCCCATAAGATATCTGTGCCTGTGGTATGGGCATTGCACAAAGGCCTGAAAGGAAATCAACCATCCAAGCAGCAACACATGGTTTGCCTTGTGAGCATACAGAAGATAGGAAACAAAACCTTGAGATTTTAGTAGAAACAAATGAAGAAAGCTTACGTGTCAAGAAATAGATCTGCTAAAGCACTGCGCCTGATATGTTCGTGTTTCATAGCAACATCAGTGAAAATAATTTGATCCGGCTGCACACCCTGGGCAATAGCATCTGACCAAAAGCAGACCAATTGTTAACAAGGCCCAGTATCCAGTGTCATTCTTTTATCAAATGGACTTAATGAATTTTAAGTAAGAAACATGACAACAGAAAATCAACACAAAAAGGCAAAAATGCAACTAAATAATAAAAAGAAGTACCCAATCCTTTAAAAGATAAGTTTTAAAAGGGAAAAGAAAAAACTTACATGCACGAAGTCTCATCTCCCCGGCAGCAGGGAACCTAAGGAGCCAGAGTGCACTGTTGGGTACACGCTTAAGAATATTGCACCTGAAAAAAAAAAAAAAAAAAAAAAAAATAGTTGATTCAAGATGGTGAATTGTATACACATATATATGTAAACATATAAATTTAGGACCATCCTCATATTACCAAGTATCAAAGATTTCAGGATCCATTTTGTACAACTGGTTGAAGCATGCAAATATGAACTTGTCTACAGGGAGACCATAATCTGATCGTTTGTGCTGGCAATTTGGATCCAACGCATCCAGATTTTTCTGCAAAAAAAATTAACAATTACTTGTAAGGTTTCCTTGGCTGGAAAAAGAAAAGGAAAAAAAAAAGAAGACAATAAAAATGACAAAAGAGCACATAATAAAATTAAAGAGTTTTCTTTCTGCCATCATATCATAACAACTGACCTGTTTATAATCATTAACAAAGTAGCAATGTGGGAGATGCACCAGCTTTTCGGAATATATATGTGCATAGCGTAGAGGTGAAACAAACTGGCAGTCAAGAGAAAACATGTTAGAGAAGCAGGAAGATAATAACAACATTCAAAAAATTGAGTGTTATACAATCTCACCTCATCAGTGACCAAATAATCAATATACGATGCACCAGTGGTCCCAGGAAACCCCATATATGAAACCTGTATAGGTGCAGGTTGCATAGCAAATATTTCATTCCTGGCTCCCTGCATAGTTACAATAGCCATGACTTAAGTACAGATTCAAAATTGCCATAAAAATTGCTGATCACCATGCCAATGCATAAAGTAAATGAAAAAGCCACTTAAAGAAAGTTAAACAAATTATACCTTGGTATAGCCATTGAGGTTCACAAGGATCTGTATCTTATCCTCATTGATCAGTTTGGCAATCATATCCGACGACATGGCAGAGACATCAATGAAATGCTCTGCTTCAGATTGGGTACGCTTTCTCCATTCAGTACCATCATTTGGACTCAAGGCATAACAGAACACCTGCAAAAACCTTATTAATTTACATGTAATGACAAAAAAAAGAAAAAGAAGCAAGAAGAAAACCCAAATAGCCTTTAACTCGCAGATAGGGAACGGTCCAAATTACAGACCTCAACATTTTCTCTGTTGTGCATGCCAAACACAGATCCCATAAGGTGTGACAGAGGGTGATTACCGAAATCACTGCTCACATAACCAACCCTCAGCCTCTTAAGTCCACCCTCATGCCTAATAGGAACTGGGGCAGGATGGTTGAATGGAGGAAGTGCAAAGCGCGATGCAATAATAGAGCAATGTGCTGCATATTTACGGCTGCATAAGAGAAAGAAAAATTGTTAAAAGAAGCAGAATTTATATATATATATATATATATATAGACACACACACACACACACACTCAATTGCAAGTTCATTACATGCTGTGAGAAGGGAAGAATTACCTTATTTCAAGTGCAAGCATTGGATCAATGGGATATGCTATAGCATGGAAAGGTTGGACACTAGGTAGAACTGACATCTGAAATAAAAATAGCTGCAGTTAGGACTCCGAAGGAAATACTCAAAAAAGAATTATAATAAACTATCACAAAAACTTAAGAGATATCCTTTCTTACATTGATCTGCCGCCTGATAATCCCTTCAACTTCACTGAACATTCTGTCACGATCTTCCCAACAGCAGACACACTGGAAGATATATAATCAAAATCAAATTGTGTTAGTAAGTTACAATGCTTCATGCTTGACCTAAACAAAAACAGAAGGAAAAAAAAAAACAATTTACAGAGAAAAATGACATCAACCAAAACCTTGAGAAATACTACACATAGCACAGTCAATCCACAACAAGACGCTTATCTATGACCATAAATGCATTCAACAGCATTAGAATGCAAACATAAAAATAATTTATTTGACATTGTTCCCAGAATTTTCTACAGTTATGTGATTACAATAAAAATTATATATAAAACCACTGATTTATTGGAGAAATGAAGGTTTCCCTTCTTCATACAGCATTGCAACTGTTACTTATAATCGATGTTAATTGAATGCCACATTGATGAAAATACTTGAAAAAAAAGAATAGCACCAAAATACTATACATGTACCAATACATTCCAGCAACAGAATTTAGCACAGTGGAATAAAATAAACACTTGTCTATCTTCAAAAACCTGTTTAGAAGGTCAATAAATAAGTGCCATTGGAAACACAAAGAAACAATAATACACATCAAGACTGTACCTGTAGGGTATGTAGAAGGTTGCAAGTGGCTTCTGGAAAGTCAGACCGAAAAGCCAATGCCTGTTTGTAGCTCTTAATGGCAGCCTCCACATGTCCACTGCATATCATATGAATCCCAAATTACTAAAATTACAATACTTATGTATACACAGCCCAGTAGAATAAAATTTTTGGTACTGAAAGCAATAGCATTCAAATTCAATGCAGTGGAACACAGATTGCAATTAACACATTTTCTAGAATCGAAGAACCCCAAGAGAAGACATTATCTCCATTGGAGACCCGAGATATACGTAGAAACAAACACTGGATAAGAAGCAGAGTGACAATTACCTATCTTTGTAAGCCGATGCCAAATTTGCATGGGCTTCAGCCATAGTTGGCCGGATAGTGATAGCACGTATATAGTCCTGGATTGCATCACTCACTCTACCAATCTCCTTGTAAGTGTTTCCCCTATTGACCAGTCCATCGGCAGCCAAGGGATCAATGCGGAGAACCTCATTGTAGCAAGATATAGCATCAGCATAATTTCCCTGCCATGAGAACACACATAGAAGGGTCATAACTACAAAAACGAAATAGAGCTAGGACTTGACTTAAATCCAATCTCTACTTAGTAAACCATAAAAAGATAAATAATAAAAAATTAAAAAATTAGAAGAAAAAAGAACAAGAAGACTGCAGAAATGGACAATCAAAACACTAGCTCTATTTAAAAAGCCTGACAACTACCTGTTGTTTATAGATTACAGCAAGATTGTTGAAGGGGGCAGACAATCCTGTTGTTACCGTCAATGTTGCCTTATAATATTGAGCAGCAGCAGCTAACATGTTCCTGCATGTTGCAAGTTGTCTCATTTTTCATTAGCAAACTTGTCAACGTATAGTCATTAAACTAAATCAATCACTACGATATACGGCATCAGAATCACATACCATTCCATGTATATATTCCCAAGGTTGGTAAGCGCTTGTGGATGACTCGGCTGTAAGGCCAGACATTGCTTCACCAAGAAACAGAAATTGTCAATTTAAGATCAAAAATTTATGGAGACATACCAGTCATAAAGAAAATAGCATACATTATAGCACTGAATTGCTTCCTCAACTCGACCCACATCCTTCAATGCATTACCCTACCAATCACAGAACAAACCAAAAAAAGAAGTTAGAAACCTCTGTATCCGTAGATTATAAAAACTCAAACACTAACACAGATGATACTGCAGAAAAAAGGAAGACCAACCATATTATTGTAAGCCTCCAAAAATCTAGGATCACAAGATATTGCTTGCTTATAATAAAGGATAGCCATATCTGTTTGACCTCTCTCATAATATGCACTAGCCAAGTTACCTGCACCATGCAATATAATGTGGTCATGTAATTGACTGTGTAAATCATTCTCAACCATCGATGCTCAACAAAATATATAAGGAAACAGTTAGAAAGCCAACAATATATCAGGCTCGATAACAATTTACAGATAAACAAAGTTAACTCCTACAAATCATTTCAAGCGAATCTAAATAGCAACACAACTTTGTTTCAATGATATAGTGCACTTACCAAAAGCTATTGCATTGGGACGAGTCTGAACAGCACGCTGATAACACAAGATAGCTTCTTGAGGCATTCCCAAAGCCTGAGGCAAAAGAAAATATCTTGTTTTTCTCTGATACAGAATACCATTCCAGGCACTAGCAGCCACCAGACCTTATGAACACAAAGGCATGACATCTTACCTTATAAACATTTCCGAGGTTTAGGTAGGCATCAGGAAATGTAGGTTTGAGTTTCACAGCTTCCTGAAAATATTACAATATTAATATACAATTAAGAAAACAGTACAATATACAGTTCAAACAAACAATTGCAACACAGATGGAAACATTAGCAAAAAAATACCTTGTAATATTGAAGAGCTCTATTAAGATCTCCAGACTCCATAAAAAGACCCGCAAGATTAGACCATGCAATAGCAAAAGTAGGTTGTATGCGTAGAGCCTCAAGGTAGCAGCTGTATGCCTGCACAAAACGTTAGATTCTGACAATTGGGAGTCTTGCACATGGAAGTTACAACAAGACCAACCATCATCTGAGCCCTGGCCTGTACATAACAACTTGACATCTGTATAGAACTGTGAATTAAGACACAGTTCCACACATCAATTACTCCATCAGTAACTTCAAGGGAAAAGGTAGACACAGTGACAGACACACTATAAAATTCCAAAATGGCAAGAATGCCTTCAACCCACATGTAGGTTGGACAAGGAAGAGTCTAGGCCAGGTGAACCAGTTGAGCATACACTCAAAATGGAATAGATATATAGATTTCCCACCACTGGTGGCAGTGGGAACAGAAGATAAACCATCTGCATATATGCTAACTGCTATTATTAAGCCAAACAATACAAAGCGACTGTATGTGCTATCACTTACTTCTTGCACCAATCCTTGTGCCTTCATTAGATTCCCTAGGTTGCTATGTGCATCTACCTGTGATAATGAACCATAGGGAATATTATGACAGATACGAGAGGGGCAGAGAAAGGAATCAGAAATCACTTCTAAAATTTTTATTAAAAAAAAAAAAAAAAAAAAAAAAAATCAGATTTTTTCTCATCAAGACCAACTGATCAACAAACAATGGAAGCATCAAACAAAAAGGGTAACCAGATTACAGCATACCAAAAGAGGATTCAATGCAAGCGCCTGACGACAGCACTGTGCTGCCTCATTAAGTCTTCCCTTTCGCATGTATGCACTAGCCAAGTTCGACCAGGCATCAGCAAAGTTGGGGCGAAGCTGCAGTGATGCAAATAAGATAAATAAAAATAACTCAATAACCAGTAGAATAAAGGAAGGGAGAAGATCGCAAGCACAAACCTCAATGGCAACCAGATAATAGCGAATGGCAAGATCAATATCACCTTTCTCCTGAAAAGAGAAGACACAGTGTTGAGTTGACATTAAATATTAACAAGTAGAATTCGTATGTATAGTTGTGATTACCTTCCAAGCATTTGCCATGTTTCCATAACACTCAGCAAAACGTGGCTCAAGTCGAAGAGCTTCTTCATTTCTCGCAATGCACATATCATACTCATGCAACTGCAAAGAAATGGAGATGCGTGATTAATGATTAGATGCATTCAAGATCCCAAATAATTAAAATAAAAATCAAATTCACATTACAGTACAGAGCATAAAGAAAATGAAGCAAACTAACCTGATAGTAAACTGCACCCAAGAGAAGAAGATTATCGGTGCGTAGAGGACTTCTCTCGTAAACAACATTGCTGTGCTCTAGAGCCTGTTTAAAGTTGCCAGCCTTGTACATTTGATGAGCAAGGGCCATTTGCATATCTTCATCGACTACCGCATAAAAAGTTTGCATGATCAGACACAATCATTATGATTTTTCAAATATAGCCAAAATAAGCTCTTCAAGAGTAATGCCTAATATTCCGCATAAATCCACTAGGCATAAAAGTAAACTGTATTTCTAAATCAAAAGTTCGATAGATTACAAAAAAACACCATGATCACTAAAACAACCCAAAAAAAAAATCATACGCTTTAAAAACCTAATTTTTCTTGACAATGGGATCATTTTTTTCCCTATTTTTAACCTAAAAGGTAACCGTGAAGATAAAAAGCCTCACAAACCCGTACCACCTAACAATTCTCGACAAAACAATATCATAACACATATAGATCTAGTTTCGCCAATCAAACACCAAAAATTAAAATTTGCCCCAAAAAAAAAAATCTTAAAAGCTACACGCAAAAAAATTGCAAAAAATAATTAAATAAATATACAAACCTTCATGAGAATCGTGGCCCTTGAACGACGAGAGACTCAGCGATGATGGCGGCTCCTGCTTCACAGTCGGAAACCCAGATTCACTGGCCCGATCCGAGCCCACCGACGCCCGAGAAACTCCATTTTGTAACGAAATCATCATGATCTTTTTTCCCTCAAATCAAACTGAAAAACTTAAACTTCCGAAACAAAACCCGATCATCAAACAAAATCCAGATCCAACAGTGCAAAAACACATAAACAAACGGTGAAGAAGAGGACTCGATTAAAAAACACCCTAGCGCGGTGTTTTAGCGAGCTGCTTCTTCGAAACGACCGAAAGTTCTAGCGTTCTGTATGTTTTTTTTTTTTTTTTTTTTTTTTTTGTAAAGAATGTTTGAGAAAAGGAAAGGGAGAGGGGAGGGGAATAATAAATAAGAAGGGGGAGAGAGTAAGGAGAAGAAAAAACGTGCGAGATCGGAAGCGTCAATTAGTACGGTTCAGATTCTACCGTTAGGTGTTGTGGAGATTCGGTTATTACTGACACGTATCTACACAGGTTCGATGAGTTGTTAAGACTTGACCTGTGGGGACTTTCAGGTTTTCTCCTTCTGAGCTCTGTCCAATGATGTCTTTTCTCAGTTCCGCTCTTGTCTGTTCTATGTCTTAATAATTTGGTAAATTTTTAAATTAATACGGTAAATTATTTTTAATTCTATATATTTTTAAGAGAAAAATAGGTGGGGGGTGAGAATAATTTGGACTACTTTTAAGATCAAATTTTATTCTTATGATCTTTTCCTTTCTGCCTTTCTTTGAAAAGACAGGTTTTTATTATAATATGATATTTATAATAAAATACAATTTATCCCCCACTCTCCCTAAGTATTAAATACAAAACCGTTGTGTAATAATAAAAATATCCACCATTAAAATTGTGGGTAGAAATAAATGACAAAATATAATTTTTTATTAATATTTATTAACTCTTATTAAATTGTAAAGATTATTATAAACATACGATGTCTCATAATAGTTTGAAATTTATGTATTTCTAATAAAAAAAAAAAAAATTTATGAACATAATGTTTAATTAAATATTTTAATATGCAATTTGTTTTTTTTTTATTTCACTTTATTTTACTAGTAAATGATGATTTTCATGGCAGAGATCTAATATAACACGTGATTATTTGTTGATATTTGTAATTTAAAAATATTTAAAATATTCTTGTTCTACCTAAAAAGAAAATCAGTAACTTTTATCTAAAAACTTTGTCACTCCTTTATTTATTTTAAAAAAAAAAAAAAAGTTGTTTTGGAGATACGTGTTCTTCTCTTTCACTTCTACAAATGTGATCTTTGACCATATTTTGAAGTCCAATCATTCGTTTCTCTGACAACTACATAAATATAGTAATGAAATATGTAAACATAATCTAAACTAAGATTGAAAGAAAATTTTTTTTATGACGATTGATTCATAAAATCTTGAAAGATTTGTATAACTAAATAATAGGAGAATAGTGTTACATATACAATAATCGGATTTTTTTTTTTTTTATTGAAAATACGCTTTATATTTAGTATAATTCTAAAAGATATATACATAAGAATAGTCCTATTTTTTTTTTGCTTTTTTTTTTTACAAACTTTTAATGGCAATTCTCCCATATAAATTAACGTGTTTTAAAATAATTTGATAATTTTAAATTAAAAATTAAAAATTACCAAAAGAGATTACACATCAAATATGTAGGATTATCATACCAATAAGAATAATTTGTATATGAGCATTATTATACACATAATTATCATATATTGTGAATTGTTTAATATAGAAATATTACATGTTTTGTGTTGTGGAGGTAAAACTCAATATAGTAAGTATATACAAAATTGATGGTAATAAGCAAATATAAGTCATACCCACTGAAATAGGCAAAACTTGAAGCATAAACTATTAATCGTAACCATCATTAGGTGACCTAATAGTAAAAGAACAAAAAGAGATTCTGTGAACTCCTAAGTTTGAGTCCCCTTAGACATTAATATGGATGTCCGTTGAGGTTCTTACTCGATCGACAGTTCTAAAGCCTTAGGAGATTAGTTAAAATGCGTGCAAGATAACTTAGATATCCTCAATGATAAAAATAAATAAAAGAAAACTATTAATTGTTTAATGGATTGTTTTTGTTAAGAATTAATGTAATATAGTTTGATTATTAAATTTGAAGGTAATTTCTTACAAGAAAACAAACATATCTGGGCATAACAATTAATATGTACAAGTTTAATGAATGGATAAATCGTAAGGAATAAGTAAACTTAAATGGGTTTGTGATAGGCTACCACTTGTGATTGAGATGTTATTCTCTATCAACTATTTATACGTTTCATATTTTAATCCTATCAATATCTAATTTCTTTTCAGATTATAAGTTTCAACCTTTTAAATATCAAGTGTCGATTTTATAGGTGAAATGGGTGTCGAAAATTTTATGATATTTCTAGACTCAAATGTCCAACCCCCCCTACAACTCAAACATAATTTGACCCTTACAAACTTCAAAACCTACATATACACCCCTCTCGTTAGTTTCAAGCAATGGGATGGCAAGGGCGGTAAAATTGACATTTCATACCAAAATGGAACACACACACACACACACACACACAAAAAAAAAAGCAATAGCAATATGAGGTTGCAGATTTGATCTCACGCTTACAATCCTAGATCACAACTTCTATATCATGTTTTCGATTCTAGATCTCAACTTCTTGGATTGCAGCAACATCCAAGATGCTTGTTATCTAAGGTTGCAAAAGTTTAGAAATATATATATATATACATATATATTTTTTTATAAAAACTATAACTGAAAATTTGAAAGATAAAAAGATATTCTATAAAATAGCAAAATCAAATTATAGTTTTATTTTGTATCTTGATATATCACCAAAAAAATTAATGGTAATTTTGCAATTGCATTGGTCAAATACAATCGGCTTCCAAATTCAACAACATAAACTAATGGAAAGGAACCATTTCTGGATAGTCAAGTGGTTGGATAAATACTTTTGGGTGTATTACTCAAGAGATCCTAAGTTCGAGTTACCTCGATTACTAATAGAGATAACCATTGAAGGATATGTTCGATTGTTAACTTCAGAACTTTGGAAGATTAATCGAGGTACATGCAAGTTAGCCTGTATACCTCCAGTTATCCAAAAAAAAAAAAAAAACTAATGGGAGGGAGTGATTATTGAAATTTCTTAGGTCAAATACAATCGAATTCCAAAACTAATGGGAGGGAGGGAGTGTTTATTGTAGTTTTCAAAGTTCAGAGGGTCCAATGAGGTTTTTGAGTTTCAAGGGGTGTATATTGAGAAGCCCTTAATTTTAAGTAAGAGATATTTTGGGCGAGAATGATGCAACCGCGTGGTGAGCTTCTAATAATAGTGTGCCACTTATGCAGTAAAAGTCCCAAATGAGAACAACGTTCGTTGAAAATAATAAACTAAACTTATGAAACACATGAAACCGACGTGATGTGAAATGATTTAGGAGATGAATTTTATTACTTCTTTTCGTGAAAATTTGTTTTAACATGTGATGTGATTGTCTTTTTCTTCATATATTTGAATGTAATCCACTAATTAGGGATCACATATCCAATTCATCGAAACCCATTAAAGTGATTGAGTTAAATAAGTTATTTGTTATATTTCCTTGTAAAATAATTTTTTTATATAAATTTAATTAAAATACATAGATAGTTTTTTTTATAGATATAATTAAAAGTATTTATGTTAATAATTTAATACAAAAGTTTTAACGGTGAAAAGTCATCGTCTAGTCGTTAAAATGGATGGCAATGAAACGGTTCAAGGTGGGGAGCCTCCCCCTTTCTTCAAGACTTCAACCCACTTTGGATTTTGGTCTCTCTTCCCAAATAATTTAAGTGGGTCAGGGATGGAAATCTCCATATCGGAAAGGTTTTTCTCCAACGCTGGATAATATTTTATCAATAATACTAGACGGTACAAACCAATTTTATAAAGATTTATATACAAACTAATGTGATCGAAAATAAATACAAAAGTGAATACAAAAAGTTAAATTTATTATATTCGCTCTTCTATTCATTTTCTGTCATATCAGTTTGTATAAAAATCTTTGTAAAATTTGTTTGTACGTATAGTATTATTCATACTTTATATACAAACATTTTATACAAACTCTCTCGTACAAACTTATGTGTTTTAAGATAATTGTATAACTTTAAATTTAAAAATAGAGTAATGTTACACTCACTAACTTTTTATACAAACTGATGTGGTAAAAGATGATTGAGTGGTTTTAAATTAAAAATAAATAAAATAATTAAAAGAAATTATATGACAAACATACAAAGTTGCTATATTAGTTTAAATAAGAGAGTCTGTATAAAAAGTTTAGAAGTGTAGTGTTATTCTTAAAAATAAATTAAATAATTAAAAGAGATTACATGACAAACATGAATAATACTACACTTATAAAGTTCTCATACAAAAATATATGTACAAAGTGATGTGTCGTACCATGATTGGGAGAGTGAATTTGACTTTAGTTAATAAGTTGACTTTACAAATTCACTCTACTAATCATTTATACATATTTCTTTGTAAGAGGACTTTATAAGTGTAGTATTAATCGACAAACATGCAGGATCGTCACATCAGTTTACAGGGAATAGTTTGTTTATGTAACATTACTCCTCCAACCACACTTCACTCCCAATTAGGTAATACTAAGCTGACAAACCCTTCACACTAAATTTATCTCACAAACGCGATGTAACAGTTTACAGTTCGTTAACCTACAATGAGTTCCGCTTAACTAATTGCGAGCTATGATGTCGTGTTTGTGAAAAAAAGTTAGTAAGAATAGTTTATCAGCCAATCTTTATTATTCCCAATTTACAGGACTCGGTGTTTATTAATAGGTTTAGGGTTTTTGCTTCTGATCATGTTTTTATGTTTTGCCAAGCCCTGCGAATAAATATTTCCTCATTATGAATTTATGATATTAAAGGGGTATTTTTGAAATTAAATTGAGTCTGAAAGATGTTTTCAAAATTAAATGATAATGTTATTAAAACAAAAAGTGGAGATTAACTATCATTTGTTCAAACGGGCTGAGCCCATGTGAGCCCATGCCATGTGAGGAGCACGAATGAACAGTGTTGGAAAACCAACTTATCAATTAATTAAAGGGATAATTAAAATAAAATACTCTGCAATTGGACTTGATGTTCTTGTTATGTGCATATTCTACTTTTAGGTCATGTGATTGAGAAATAAAAAAAAAAAAAAGGAAAATGGGAGCAAACACGAAGCATCTCCCAGTATATGCATCTTTTCAAAACTTAGAATTTAAAGAAAAAAGAAGCATAGGCACAGACAAACATCAGAAAATAGCGGCTACTGATATTATTTCTTAAGGGATGTACAAAGGCAGTTTTCTGCTACGTTTTGTAAATAATACAAGGATGAATGAGATACTAAAAACATCATCCCGGTTAACTCAAATTTATTGACCTATTATCCGGATTCGTCATTGAAATATGTATCATGACTAGGGGAGGAAACATTGTCGTCGCTGGCCGAGGAATCAACGTTTACCTCGCGCTTACTTGATTCGTTCAGCAAAAAAACAACTTCTCGCATTGTTGGCCTTTTCAAAGGTGAGATATTAGTGCAGCGCATTGCAATTTTTAAGACAATAATCATGTGAGCGAAGATTTTTTCGTCTTGTAGATTTAGACGAGCATCAAGTATTCCAGATAATATTGAATTGTTCCGAATGTAATTCCTCACCCATGTTACAAGGTCACCACCTTGGTCTAGTGGCTGCACAGGTGTTCTGCCAGTCAACAACTCCAGTAGGACAACTCCATAGCTATAAATGTCACATTTCTCGGTAACTTTCATGGTGTATGCATACTCTGGAAATAAGACGGTCATAATTGTAAATTATTAAGAGTCATCCTAAGGGCAAAAATGAATGAAATTCCTCACAAAGCAGAAGTAATGAGAAACTAGAACTTGACTATGCAATTGTGATGAGCAATGTTCCCAGAAAATTTTAATAAAATTTTCTAAAAATTAGATGTCATTGGCCTAGGCAAAACCGTTAAGCTCTCTAGATGTTCATGAAGTTTTGTGTTATAAACCATCTTGCCTAAACACTCACACTGTGATTTAATGATCATTTTGTCTTAAAATGGATTGCCAACTAATACTGCTTTTAAGAATTTCATGGAGAAGAGATTTTTAATCATATCTAAACACAAAATTTATTCGCGACAGTCAACTTCTAAACTATTTAGATGCCTTGGATGATGCATAGCAGATGGTTCAATAACAAAACTGTGGTGATTTACTAATGTTTTATACGCATTGGAAGAGCTAAAACAGTGGGAAAGCAATATATGAAAAGAAAGGAGTTCTATAGTAAGCGCATCAGTTTCTTTATGAATGTACTTTAGGTTTCCCTAATATATGATTGAGGATGGAGAAAGTTTCACTTTTTTCTCATACTGTAACATTTTAGTGTTGTTTTTTATTATCAACAGCTAACACTCTACACTGAATAAAAAAATGCAGTCAGCTTAGACATTTAGACCATATAATTATCAGCATCATGTAATGATGCTTTGGAAAAACCTGCACAATGCCATTTCAACTGCAGATTCTGATTATGAATTTGGCCTTTCAAAAACTTAAAAAATGCAACAGTACGTAGAGAACATAAAGGAGGTAAAGAAAGCTTACCAGGAGCAATGTAGCCATAAGAACCTGCAATAGCGGACATAGATTTTGACTGTGGCAGGTCAACCACTTTTGCTAATCCAAAATCCCCAACGTGAGCTTCAAAAACATCATCAAGAAGTATGTTATTGGACTTTATGTCGCGGTGAAAAATCCTAGGCTTGCAATCATGATGCAAATAAGAAAGTCCTTCAGCAGCCCCCAATGCAATCATGAACCTTGTCTGCCAATCAAGGCTACAAGATGCTCCATGAAGCAATTCTCCCAAGCTTCCATTTTCCATGTACTCATAGAGGAGAAGATTGGAACCTTGGTGGTAGCAGAAACCATATAGCTTCACAATATTCCGATGCCTGATTCTTCCCAGAGTTAGAATTTCAGCACGGAAACTGTTGTCCACATTGTTGTTGCCCTCTCTGTTGGACGCTAGCTTCTTAACAGCGATTTGAAGACCATTACGCAAAATTGCTTTGTACACAGTACCACAGGCTCCACTTCCAATAACAAATCTCTCATCAAAATTGTCAGTGGCCACAACCAAGTCCCGGAAAGTGAATCCTTCTTTTGGGGGAAAGTAAATGTCTGAAACTGTCGAAGATGTTGGTTTGTCTTGCAAAGGAGTTACTGTTTCAACAGGATGCCTCATGAAATATATGATGACTACAATTAAAACTAGAGAAACTCCACCAATAACCGCTGCAGTAATAGCAACAATTTTACCTAACCGGGTACTTTTATTGCTGGTGTCCTGCGGGAAAGGGAGAGAAGATGTTGGTGGATTACATTCACGAAGATGTTTTCCACAAAGCCCTTTATTGCCAGAGAAGCTGGTAACAGGCATGTTCTGGAAGAGCGGCAAGGAAGGTATAGGCCCAATCAAATCATTGTCGGAAAAGTTGCATCCAAGTAAGCTTGACAGCTTCTGAAAGGATTCTGGGATTTCACCAGACAAATTGTTGTTGTTTAGTAGGAGGTATTCGAGCAAAACAAGGTTCCCAAGTTCAGGAGGTATTGCCCCAGAGAGATTGTTGTAACTGAGGTTCAATGCAATCTGCAAGCTTGAAAGGCCACCCAACTCAGCAGGTATGCCACCAGAAAATGAGTTGCCACCCATTTGTAACTCAGTCAAACGGGAGAGATTTCCTAGCTGCACAGGTACATTACCAGAGAGTTCATTCTCAGAGAGCTTGAGAAGCTCCAATTGCGAGAGCGATCCTATCTCTGGTGGCAGAGCACCTGAAAACTTATTTCGGCTGAGATCAAGTCTTTGAAGCATCTTGCAATTAAAAATTCCTGTTGGTATCCTTCCATTGAGAAAATTTGATGAGACATTTAAGATCACTAGATTGGAGAGGTTACCAACCTCTCTTGGCAATTCATCTGTGAAATAGTTATCTGAAAGATGCAGTCTTTGCAAAGCATAGCATTTTCCAATGCCAGAAGGTATCGAGCCACTTAACTTGTTTTGGTCTAATTCAACTGCATAGAGATCTTCCAATTTGCATAAGTTGGATGGAAAACTCCCAGTAAAGCTGTTCCCAGCAAGACGAAGCTGCAACAATGTTTTGCAGTTTGTGACCCCAGTTGGGATGTTTCCAGTTAGCTTGTTAGATCCCAAGTTCAAAAAGGACAGATTACCATTTTTGCACAAATTACGCGGGATCTTTCCTGTTAAGGAGTTAATGGACAAATCAAGCAGCCACAATTGGCTATAAACTCCAAGACCTTGAGGAATGCTACCAATAAGTGAGTTGTTGAATAGCAGCAAAGAATCCAGTTTCGTCATATACTGGAACCCTGAAGGAATTGCACCAGTGAGAAGATTTATTGAGAGATCGAGCTTCGTCAAATTCTTCAGAGCAGTGAGCTCCACTGGTATAACACCGGTAAGCTGGTTCTCGAAGAGATGAAGCAGCTGCAAACCTGATATCCTACAAAACTCAACTGGTATCCTTCCAGTCAACTCATTCTCCGAGAAATCAATCTCTGTTGCCAAAGAAAGATTCCCAATCTCCCTAGGAATTGTTCCATTCAACCCATTTCTGTAAATGTATAAATTCTTGAGAGACTTGAGGTTTCCAAGCTCCTTGGGTATTGCTCCCACAAGCTTGTTATCATAGAGAGCAACAATCTCCAAACTGGAACAATTGCCAAGCTCCTTAGGAACATCCCCCGAAAGCTGATTACCCCAAAGGATCATATCTGTCAAACTCTTGAGCCTTCCAATCTCTTTTGGTACTTCACCAGTTAAAGAATTTTGTGCAAGACCAAGTAACCCCAAACTCTCACATCCACCTATTTCTGGAGGCAAACTTCCAGATATCAAATTCTGTCCCGCTCGAAAACTTATCAATCTCTTCAAATTCCCCAAAGATCGCGGCAATGATCCACTAATATTGTTACTATATGCCACCAACTGTGACAAGGAAGAAAGATTTCCAATCTCGTTCGGAAAAGGACCGGATAATCTATTGTTGTAAATATTTAAGGTTGTTAGAAAAGAAAGTTTGCCCAATTGTTTAGGAATATTGGCTTCAAACTTATTATTGTTCAAAGTGAGAACCACCAAACTTGAACAATTTCCAATCTCTTTTGGTATACTCCTTGACAACTCATTAAAAGAAAGATTAAGATGAGTCAGATGAACTAATCCACCAATGCTTGGAGACAAATAACCAGAAAGATTCATGGAGCTCAAGTCAAGAGACCAAACAACAGGATCATTAGAATCATTGGTGCAATTAACACCTATCCATCCACAAGGAGCGGAGTCATTGGGGTTCCAATTACCCAGATTTTTGAATTTGTCACCAAGTTTACTCTTTATATCAAGAAGATGTTGACCTTCAATGTTAAGCCCTTTGGTTTGATGAACCAGAAGGGTAATGACAAGAACAAACACAGCTAACCTCCTATATGATATTCTCTCCATATTCATCAAAACCAACTGAAAATAACACATACCCGGATGTTGCATTCACATTAAGAATCAAACATTAGACCTAAAAATGAACTACACCCAAATAAAAAACGCTCTTATAAAGATCAGATTTTTACAAAGAGGGCTGAAAGAGCTGGTCATATTTATCAAGTTTACACATGGACATGAGAAGCAATGGAATTCAAAATTTTCAAGAACAGATAAACAATGGACAATCCTATAGCATAGAAAAAGACTATTAAACTATTGATCAAGATGACACTTAAGACTGAACATACCTCTTTGAGTTGATAGCCAATAGGAAAAGAAGCAGCCAACTAAGAAAAAACAATCAACTTTCTGGGAAAGAAGCAGGAAAGTTACAAACCTCTCAGAAATTATATTACAATAAAAGGCTCAAAGTTTTGACAGAAAGAGAGATACATTGAAGGAATAAGAGGATATTTAGCTTGTTTCGATAGACTCAAAGTCAAGTTGAAATGCAATGACTATTAACTTTCTTCAATATCATAATTATTATTAGGAGCCCAGGAACCAATAAGTAATTGGTTTCGTTTTCAGTCTTTGCACGTAATGATTTAGAAAATCTCACCTTTGTGTAAATGGTAGGATATGATAGAGAGAGAGATGGCCGACAAAGCATGAGCATGCTTTATTTTCTCTTACTCAATCTCCAGCTCCATTTCCATCTCTCTCTGTTAATATTAATATAATATAACTAATAACAATGGAGAGTACTATAACAGAAAGTGAATTTTTCTTTTTCTTTTAGTTTCAGTTTTGTTTTACACTAAAAAGTTTTTCGACAACAATTTCAGTGAAGCTGCTTCAACTGTTTTTGGTACTCATTCAAAGTGTTTTGTGTTCAGTTTTCATTTTGACTTGAAAAGAAAAGAATAAAATTTAAATAAATGGCCTATATTTTATCATACACAAACTCTTTCAACCATTGATTGATTAATTATAGCAATGTATTGTTGATAAACTCTCATGCATAAAATATATCTTCAAAGAGTTGACGTTAAGCATACCCTTTAAAAGATAAGTATTCATGATAATTAAAAAATAGATTTAATTATATGTTTTATCTCCAAAGATATCATATTTATTTAAAGATTCGTTTAAAAAAAAAAAAACTAATTTGTTAAAATAGTAATATTATCGATTTAGTATTAGGTCGATAAAATTATCGGTTTTTAGATTTTCTTCAAGGATATTGACCTACCAAAACATAGTATGTGTACAACTACAATTTCACTGGTAATCTCACCAAACTCCTAACTTATAATGGGAAGTGATTTTTAGGTCAACTTGCCTAACTTTCCTAGAGCCAATAATGATTTATGTGGCAAAATTTTGAAGGCCTCTCTTTTAGTTTGTGGCATATTGATATGGGTAGTGATTGATGATGGAGACTTTACCTAAAAATAAAAAAATTAAAGGAATTATTATGAAGCCGTGTGTGGTAAAAGGATTATGTCAAATACACCTATGATTCCACCTCATAAATTTCATAATTTTATAATAACCAAAGTTTTGTCATTGCTGACGAATTTCTTCACACATCATGATATGTTTATTTCAATTACTGTTGGGCAATTAATTTAATTTCTCAATTGATAAATGTTTATGGCCTTAATTAAGTAGTTGTAAATTTGTTTAAGAGTAAAGGACATTTTCCCACCTAAATAATGGCCTAATGACACTTTCTCACCCAAAAGGTTTCAAAATACAACTTTATTACCCAAAACACAATTCTGTTAGTAAATTTTGTTGTGAAGTAAGGCAGGATGGTCAAAAGTCCATAATAAGTAAAGGCAGGGTGGTCAATTAAAAAAGGACACCTAATTTCAACGACATCGGTCGGTGCGATTAATGAGCTGCTAGCGATAGGAGAAAAGGACAAAAAAACACTCAATCAATGCAAAACAACACTTCAAACCAATAACTCACTCACAATGATGATTAATTCGCCCAAACAGCTCCCCCCAAAAAAAAAGCCTCCAATTGAAACCCAAACACACAAATCGCACAAGAAACCCTAAGAGAGGTCATCAACGATTAGAAAGTTATCACGGCCCATATTGTTGGGGCTATTGAAGAGGGATGGTCGGTGACTCATTTGGTGGTGGAAGGTTGGATTGTGGTGGTTGAAGTCGACTAGAATCGTGCAAGAGAGGGCGGTGACACTTCCACGAAAACTCGTAGATGTCGACGAGTGGTGGATTTGATGAGGACGATGGAAGATGGGGTTTGATGAGGGAGACACGGGGCACAAAATGGTGGTGGTAGAGAGTCGCAACAATGTGGAATCGGCCGATGGTGCAAAAATGGCAATCGCGATTGAAGGACATGAGATGAAGAAGAAGAAGAAGAAGTGTGAGTGAATGTGGGTGAGGATGAGAGGGGTTTTGGTGGGGGGATGCCAATGAGTTGAATGGTGGTGATGAGATTGATTTTTGAGTTGAGGCACACAAAACTTTGATTTGTGGTAGCTAGCGATTGGGGGTTGATCTTTGGTGAGGGCATTTTCGTCTTCATAATAAATATTATTGTATTTAACGGAACATAACGTTTGGATAGTAAAATTATATTTTAAAACTTTTTGAGTGTAAAAGTGTCATTAGACCATTATTTGGGTATATTATTTGTTTAATATATGTATGGCATGTGTTGACCAAGTTGGCATAAGAAATATGAACAATTTGCAATTTTCTTGTAATTTATTAACTTAATTAATGGTCATTTGGAGAGGGCCCCAAGAAGCACCGAAGGTTACAAATATTTTTATAATGTTTGTGATATTATTGAAAACGTTTTAGGAAATATAAAAATACTTTTTTTTTTGATAATGTTTAGTTGAAATTAATTAAAGCATTTTTAAAGGAGTTCGAATAATAAATATAAAGTGCTTTTTGAATAAACAATATTAGGTTTTTATAGGCATATAAACATACTATTTTTCTTTTGATAATGTTTAGTTGAGATTGATAAAGTATTTTTAAATGAGTTAGAAATTAATAAACATGATGGTTACAATATAATCTATAAGTATATATACACTTTACATAGCCTGTGGCTTTTAATAAATGATACATTTATATAAGATGACCAATAAAGAAAACGATTTTTAATAATATCAAAATGATAAATTTAGTTTTTTAGGACCCTAGAGTGTGATTTTATATTTAATCTTAAGATGGGATGTATATTCATTTTTTATTTTTCAATCATTTATTTATAATTTGAAGTCAAAATTAAACGTTTAAGAGTGTTAATTCAATGTTGGATTAATTTGTAATATAAAAAAAAATTGTAAAATATATTCTTAACATAACCAATCTTAGAAAATGCGAGTGTGAATTGACAAATATTTGGCACTTAATTTTGTGAAGGGCAAATTGGGAGTTTTTTTTTTTTGGTAACCGAGGTGTCCGGACTAACTTGTGTGCAGCTCAACTAATCACTGAGGTCCATTGAACACCCTACAAGCCTGATGGGTCAAATAAGTCACAAATGTGGTAGATGACCACTTTGTAGGACTCGAATACAAGACTTCTAAGTAACCCACCTAGATGACTATAGTCTTGTCGTCCGACCATGAGGCTAGTGGTTAAATATTGAAGTGGCCAGAGCAAATTGGGAGTTTTAGAAAACATATTGGGGGCGTTTGGATCATATAATGTTTTATTATAAGGGTATATTATATTAACGGAAAGAAAAATTACCTTGAAGATTACTAAGAATGTTTAAAAAATGTGTTTGGTTGGTTCGAATAAATTGGTGAATAATATATTTGGTTGGGAGGATAAATGGGTAAGTATGTTATATAAATTATTAAATTGCTCTCCTTTTTAAATATTAATATAATAGTATTTTTTATTATTATTTTTTTAATCATTTCTTTTAATCCCCTACATTTGAAATTTTGCTAAAGCACTCCAGCCATATAAAACTTTAATTTGTAGCAAAATCACCCCCACCCACCCCAAGCCATTGCCAGTAACCAGCCACCACCGCTAGTAGTCGACGAAATGGCGCATGACTAGTCGTATGCTGGCAAAGCCGAAATTGGCCATGGATCACAAATCCATGGCCGAAAAATAGCCAGATCTATGGTCATGTCACGACCAGATCTGTGGCTGTTTCACGGCCATAGAAACGCCAGATTTGGCCGTTTTCGGCATAGATCCATGGCTAGAAAATGTCTTATCAATGCATGATTGACCAAATTCTGTCGGCTGTACACCATTATGGCAACAGACGCCAGCGGTGGATGTGGGTGGTTAGGGGTATTTTGTTAACTTTTAAACATTTTTGTGGCTGGGGTGTTTTAGCTAATTTCTCAAGTGTAGGAGGGCTAGATAATTGTTATTTGGTAGACATTTGAGGGTAATTGTGTAGGAAATGATTATTAATTAAGGGCAAAATGGGTAGAAAAATCATATTGCCCCAATAATGTTTTAATAACACCACTTAACTAGGTAATAAGATTGTCCCCTATATTACCAACAGTAAATAATATTTACAATAAAAGATTACCATAATATTTTATTACTTGCAAACCAAAAACAAGAATCTTGCAAAATAAACGAAGATTGTCCTCGTTATCTTATATACCCTCGATCCAAACGGCCCATTATGAGAAAATAATAAAATTAGATAAAAGTATTGAAGAAAAGATGAGAAGCAAAGTGGAAGTTAATTGTATTGAAGCATTCTTTTAATCTTGCACTTAATTAATTAAAAAATATAATAAAAAGTACTCTATCCTTCAATTAATTTACTCAAAGAAAAAGAAAAGGCCAAAAAATAACATAAAAGAATTGCTATATTATTGGCAAGTTCTAAATAAATAAAGAAAGTGGGCAGCTATGACTCCACTCAACTCAACCAAATAAGCTAATGATTTAGCTTTTGAAATTATGTGAAGAAANTAAAAGTGTCATTAGACCATTATTTGGGTATAGTATCTGTTTAATATATGTATGGCATGTGTTGACCAAGTTGGCATAAGAGAGATGAACAATTTGCAATTTTCTTGTAATTTATTAACTTAATTAATGGTCATTTGGAGAGGGTCCCAAGAAGCACCAAAGGTTACAAATATTTTTATAATGTTTGTGATATTATTGAAAACGTTTTAGGAAATATAAAAATACTTTTTTTTTTTTTTGATAATGTTTAGTTGAAATTAATTAAAGCATTTTTAAAGGAGTTCGAATAATAAATATAAAGTGCTTTTTGAATAAACAATATTAGGTTTTTATAGGCATATAAACATACTTTTTTTCTTTTGATAATGTTTAGTTGAGATTGATAAAGTATTTTTAAATGAGTTAGAAATTAATAAACATGATGGTTACAATATAATCTATAAGTATATATATACTTTACATAGCCTGTGGCTTTTAATAAATGATACATTTATATAAGATGACCAATAAAGAAAACGATTTTTAATAATATCAAAATGATAAATTTAGTTTTTTAGGACCCTAGAGTGTGATTTTATATTTAATCTTAAGATGGGATGTATATTCATTTTTTATTTTTCAATCATTTATTTATAATTTGAAGTCAAAATTAAACGTTTAAGAGTGTTAATTCAATGTTGGATTAATTTGTAATATAAAAAAAAATTGTAAAATATATTCTTAACATAACCAATCTTAGAAAATGCGAGTGTGAATTGACAAATATTT